CCCCAAAACCCCAAAACCCCAAAACCCCTGGCCATATTAATATTATTGAATTCTATTTTTCTTCCAAAATTAGGCCTTCTCCAGCTTCTTCTGAGCCAGGTTGACCATGTTGTTAACTATCAGCACGTCAAGGTGTTTGTGCTCTACGCATCTGTTGATCACCGTGTACATCACTTGGTTGACGATTCCATTGATGATGGCTACGTCTTCGTTCTTTCAGAAACTCAGAGTCATCTTGAACATGAACGAAATGTCTGCATGCAGCTGCTCGAACGCTTTCTGCGAAAGTCTCGTCCTACGAATCCGCTCGCACAGCGTCTTGAATGTCGACAGTGCAATGGCCGCAAAGATCGAGAACCTGCTGACTTGGATGCCGGAAAAGATCTTCTTTTTTCTTGAACTAAACATATCCATTTCGAGCATGATGCTTCCATGCTTCTTCGACTTCTCGAGCAACTCCGGAGTTGGAATTTGAGCGAAGGGACTGATAGCTTTGGCAGCTTCGTTGTCAACGAGGTCGAGGTGCTTCCATTCTTGTTTGAACCTTCTGAAGATTTCGACAACTTCATGGCTAATCAGTACAGGTTCTTCTTCATAATAAAAATCGAATTTTCTGACATACTTTCTTAATTTTTCGTTAACAAACTTTGAAATAAATAACACATAAAACTTTATGCAGTGCTTCAATAAAGACTTTAACTTCACTTTAATGATCGGAACTTTGTCCATCTCAAAGTTGCTCCAGAGCTCAACTGAGCCCAAAAGAGTTTCTGATTCTTTGGTTTCTTCGGCATGTACCAACTCGTTGACAATTGAAACAACCTGAGTCATTCCCTTTTCCTTAATCTTCTTACAAATATTCATCAATCAGAGTAAATTGAAGCTATTAAGAGGAACAATTTCAAGCTCTTTAAGAGACTGACCTGCCAGCCCTTTGATCTTCTTTTCTTCATCCAGATCCATCTCAGCTGAACTGTCTTGGCTTTTACTATTCTCCTCAGTGTCATGATGAACAAAACTAGATTTTTCAAGATTAGCTTTGACCATTTCTGCAAAGACCTGGAAGTATTCTACAATCTGGTTATGAATCAGAGATATAAAGGCATTATTTCCTCCAAGGAACTGCTCTTGGTATTTAACAAGAGGCCTTGCCTCACCAATAGTTAATGAGCATTCAGTCATCAATAAGTCATAAGTATTCTCTACTAGTTCATTTAGAGCATATTGTTGTTCTTCGTGAGTATATGTAGACGAGTTATTATGGATACCCTGGCAATCCAAACTGAATTGATGTAAGTAATCTGCTGTTTTCTTATACAGTTTCTTCATGCTGTTGATTAGCTGAGTTCTTATGGTGGCTTCAGCAATTTCACAAAATCTATCTGTCAAACTGAAATGTTTGATCTTGATTTTTGCTTCAAATTGGGATGCTTGACGATGGATTGTTGAAAGACATTCTGTCATGTTGTAATAGCTTAAATAAGTAGCACCCAGAAGTTCCTTTAAATTTCCCATGTAAATATTAAAAAACTTGTTTAGGAATTGCTTCATTGGTTTAATATCGTCAGGGAATAAGCTATTTGAACTCAGTTATAGTAGAATCAATGAAGTCAAATAGCTTCTCTCCAAACTTTTTCACAAACCAAGTAACAGTTCCTTTCTTAAGCTGTGAAGAGCTCAGAACACCAATATTGACAGTGTTCCTTTCATTTAGCTCTTTAATAATAACCTTCTTATCAAATTTAGAATGCCTGAGATGTTCAATACTCTTCTCTTTAATTATCTGGCTTTTCTCTTCCTCAGCCAGCTTCTCTTCTTCAGCCTTGTAATGAGATTGTTCTAACTTCTTGCCATACGCATCGAGCAATTTCTTCTGAATTTTAGGATCAACTTCTTCACAAATGGAAGCGCTAGCTCGGATTACCTTAATTTTCTTATCAATATTGACTAATTTGAAATTTCAAAATACAGTTCTGATATCACTAGGATCTACACCCAGTTTTATAAGATACTTGGCCATTTTGTAAAACTCATCTGAATCTCTGTCCTCTCTCTCGATATCTCTTCTCAAGTAGTTCTTGACCTTCATCACATAAACAGAGATTTCTTCATAAAGACTTTTTAAGAAGTTGGTGTCTTTATAGTTTTCCAAAATCTTCTTGTAGTCAATGTATTGCTTAATAGGTTTTTCAAGAACAGAAATGCTCTCTGAGTCTTCCTCGTATGCATCGATAGCTTCTTTGAAGTTATCAGGAAGATCTCTCAGGTTCTTAAGCTTCTGAAGATCCTTCTCTAAGGTGTCAAGTCTTTTAATCTCCTTCCATTTGTACTTGAGCTTGTTGTCAACATTTGAGTATGAAGTATTTACCTTACTGATTGAATCTTTGAGAGATTCCAGCTCTTGGTCAAGTTCAGTCATGTTATTTTTGATACTTGTAACTATATCAGTTGCGGATATGAATTTATGGTAGTTTTCATATACCAATGATTGTAATTCTCCGTCTAAAGTTCTGATCTCAGAGTTTAAGTTGTTATCCATCCTGATCAACTCATCCATATCCTTTGTTCTGACTTGATCATTGAGGTATGTTTTCATATCAAATAGCTTTGAATCTGGGTCAAATCTTTTCTGTGCCATTTTCTCAGTATTTAAATTTCAATTATAAGATTTAATTAGGGGTTTTGGGGTTTTGGGGTTTTGGGGTTTTGGGG